CTCTACGACGGATTCGGCCGCCAGTGCAGTGAAGGCACCTACCGGCAGATAGTTGCGTTTGTAGGACGCTTCGAACGTATTGTGGCCCGACAACTTGAAGGCGACCAGCGCCATGCCGGCCGTCATGGTGGCCGTCATGCGGTGCACTGCGGCACACAGGTTGCCGAACGCGCTGGGTCCATCACCGGTGGCGCTGGGCTGGTGACCTGCCATCATGAAGTCTTGCATGCGCCCCACGGCGGCACAAGTGAGCTGCGCCTGGCTGCGTTCGATCGTCTTCGCGGTGTACTTGGAGCTGTAGTACGCAGCGTCACGGGCACGGTTGATGGCGGGCTGCAAGAGGGGGCAGTCACCGCGTTCATTGGCGGGGCGCGCTAGTTGGGCAGCGATGTCAGCTGTGTACTCCCGGTCGACTTCGCAGGCCAGGGACATCAGATGATTGCAGCCGAACGCGAGGGCAATGGCAGGCATGTGCGGCACGAGGTTGGGTGCCAGGCGGGGCAGCAAGAATAGGCCACTGGTACCGATCCATTGAAAGGCTGTGCGGATGAGTCGGGGAAAGGCCATGCCGCAGCTGTCATCGGTGCCGCGGCAGCCGTGGCGCTTGCACGTTGTACTGTGGCTGTGGGTGAGGGTACTGCGTATGACGGCAGCGTGATGGGCACGGCAAGCGGCATGTCGTGATTGAGGCGGCAGTCCGCCATTTGCACACTCTGCGAGTCGTTCGAAGTCGTATGCGGCAGGCGGGCAGTCCGCCTGCACTGCTGGCACGGGTAGACCGCGCTGCTGTGCCTCCACATCAGACATACCCATGACCAGAGGCTGCATCCCGCTGTCCGGTGTTGGAGCATAGTGTGGGGAGGGGTACCACATTTCGCACAGCGCGTATGCAAGCGCCAGAGCTCTGCAATTGGGTCCACAGAATAACGCCTGAAGGTTGTCCAGTGCGAAGCACTCGAGGTGTGCGACTCCGTGCAAGTGTAGCGCCAATCGCCCGCTCTGTTCAACCTTGACGACTACCTCGAATACGACCCCACAGAAGCAGTTAGGGTCAGTCTGCCGCATTGCTCCAGGTGCAAAGCCAAACAACTGCTCCACCAACACCTCTTTCGTGGCGACGAGCAGTGCAGCACAGCTGTGCGGGTCTTCTTTGACGCGGCGCCACTTATCCACCGTGCTGCTGATCCGGGTCGGACGACCAGCATCGTCGAACTCTATAATCTGGCCAGAGGCTACAACGGCGCAGCCAGCGTGCATGTCCGCCGGGTTGAGATTGAAGAATAACGGCGGCCAGCCAATGGTGAGGGCAGCCGCACGCATCATGGCTTTTGCACCATTGTAGTAGGCATCTGTAAGGTCGATTCGCAGCAGGCTGGCACGTGCACCATCCAGGAGAGCACGCACCACGGGCGACTGCTGCGACAGCAGCTGCCGTCGCTTGATGTGACGGTACGGCAATGCCAAGATGTCTGCCATGGTGCGTACCACATCCCTCGGTACCCGTGCCGCCGGTTCACCCAGTCGTGGTCGCATGCGCAGGGCCACTCCCACCTGCGCCATGCTCTGCTGCCGAACATTGATATCGTACATGCGGGCAAGCAGCATCAAGTTGCCGCTGAACTGCGCCCGTGGCACTCGCCGTACGAGGTGGCTGCAATATGAGGCGAACGACATACCCAGTGGTCGCTGTCCGGACAAACCATATGGAAAGGACACCGGGAAGCAGACGTTGAGGATGGCTGGGTGACGGTCATCCAGGACCTGAGCATCACGGCCACCAGCAGTGAATGCGAGACGTGCACGCCCGGTGAGCAGGTCATGCACCACGTTGGGCCGGTTATCAAAGTCGCTGCCATCCGTCGGAACAGGAGCTGGTTGCGGAAGGACCAGCTCCAGTTCATTTGGAGCGCCCAGGTCGGCATCAGCTGTGTTGGGCAGAGGAGGCGGAGATTCGTAAGGTTAACATGGCGGATGGACAAGACAATCGTAACATACGCACAAGATGAATGTAGTAGGGCAGTCGATGAATGTAGTAGGACAAACAGGACAAATAGGACAAATAGGATAATCTGCATATTCTCACTTACTCTGGAGAGGACCAGGATTGGCTGGTTGGCGCACGATGATCGCGACAGGCGCTAAGCCCGTAGCACCAGCATCTATAGTGGAAAATAGGCACGGTTGTGCACACACCGCAGATGAGGAGGTGGTAAGAAACGTAATAGTTTGTGGTCCGGAATCCGACAGGCGGGTTAACATGTCCGGATATGTGTCATCGATGACACATACAGCAGCACTCGTAGCATGTGCAAACCCATAGGTACATAGGCCGTACAATACAATGGCGTTACGGGTGCAGAGAAGCAGTCGTGCACATACCAGCCCGTCAGGTTGGACAGCTCGTACCGTACCCATGACATACATACCTGCTATACGAGTGTCAGAGGCGGTCGTTCCGGCCGTGTGTCCACTGGGACCTATAACGGACGTAGGAGCACAGAAATACCAATGTCGGAAGGATGCACGTGAAGCAGGTGGAAATAATTCCGTCAGTTGGAAAGGAACGCATGTAGGCTTGCAGCTCCCGTAGCTGACAGTACTCAGCAGTAGTGCCATAGATAGGAAAATTCGCACCTGTATCGAGGGGCGATCCATAAGCGCCACCACCCTGGAGGATCTCACCAGCGACGTTTCCTTGCAACGTCTCTTGCAGCTGTCGTACACCAGCAGCGCCGGTACGATCATGCAGGAACGTACTCCGCAGTACACCAGCGACTTCTGGATCCGTAGGACCGATTGCAGAGTCCAGCAGCGCCTCCGGTACTTGCGCAATGCATCCCATACGCTCATACTCCTGTAGAGCATCTTCATCCACCGCACCTTCATCCTCGTCGTTATGCTGAAGGAAACGTACCCAGGCGATGATGACGTTGCCTCGCACTTTCAGGCCTGGTGCACGGCGGACACGATCCAGCAAGTCCTGCCGGTCTCGGACTTGATCCACGCACACCACCGTGAAGGTGCCTGCCAAATCCGCAACGCGTGCAGGCAGCTGGCCCCGAAGCATATTGGGGTCGGGGTTTACAACCGCAATGCCATGCGACTGAACAGCACACGGCAACACCTCGGGGGGGCGGCCCGTGAGATGTACAATCATGAGCTGCTGCATGAGACGGCCCCGCCCCAACAGCTGACTCTCCACAAACGTGGGCGCGGGCAACGGGTCGCCCAGGTGGTTGGTAGACGGCACGTCGCCTGGATCGATTCGCGCCAGAGCCGCTTCAGGCACTCGGCGTGCTGCAACGAGAGTGGCGACAGGTGGGCAGCGGTTAGGCAGGGTTTAATGACAACATGTATGACCCAGACGGGGCATCTCGCCCATACAAATCAGGCGGCCCGACGGATCAAAGGTGCAGAACAGCATGAGCAAACGGAAAAAGGACAGAACATGTAGACGGGCCAAAGAAGTTGCTCACCCGTCAGTGCCTTCTCACAAGAGGTGCAGATAGTGAATCGG